TGTAAATAGAATTATAGAAGAAATAACTGACACTGTGGGAATGTTGACACTGCTGCCATTTGAGCATCTCTGCATGTGCAGTCAGAAGAACTTAGTGAAGTGACTTTTAGGGTTGACAAATTCTTCTAAAGAGCTTCTCCAGATTAAAGCATCCCATTTCTTTAGTGCATTTATTTTTAGTACTTACACTCATTGCCTTTAGTAATAATAATGTAAACTACGATTTACTGAACAAACCAATCCATCCTAGGCATTGTTCTAATTATTTTAAATACACTGTCTTATTTCATCCTCAAAGTAAAACCTATGCGAAGGTTATTATCTGATGGAGTAGACGAGAGCAGAAGCAAAAAAAAAAAAAAAAAGAACTGTCAAGCTTTCTTTTGGTCCTTCTGAATTATAATGTTTTTAATGATCACATTGGTTATGTGGAATACTTGTTGTTGCCTGGGTGATCACTTTTCATAGATCTGGCTTACATTGTGGTAGAACCTTTTGAGTTAATATACCTTTTTTCAGTTCATTAAACTTGACTGAGTGCCATTGCCGTTGATTCGATTCTGACTAATAGTGACCCTATAGGACAGAGTAGAACTGCCCCATAGGGTTTTCAAGGCTGTAAATCTTTACAGAAGCTGACTGCCACATCTTTCTCCCACAGATCGGCTGGTGGATTCAAACTGACGGCATTTCAGTTAGCAGCCAAGTGCCTTAACCACTGCACCGCCAGGGCTCCTTCAATCTAAAGCCATATGTCATTTTTTTCATTTCACTTATTTTACTAGTTTCCAAAATAATGAGTTAGTTCTTTAGCATCTGTCAGTAGTGACCAGTGTTTTTTTTTTTTTTATTGAATATCATTATGAACTCACAGGTATATGCATGTTTGAAGTGTTTTAGTCCATTGAAGTTATTTTTTATTGATGTTCACATTGTTTTGTCTTTGGCTAGAGGACGCCAGTATAACTTCACTCCTAAGTCTAAAAACAAATCTTGGTGATTTGGATAAAATAAGTTATAAATGAGTATTGCCTTTAATTACAGTTTGCAGGTTTTACTTGTATTCATACTGGTGCATGGTAGTAATGCTTCAATTATTTTAGTCTAAGATAAAAAAAACAAGAAAAAAACAGAGGAAAAAGAATAGCCCTAATATGTAAATGATGCATTTATATCAAATTGAGGTGAAAATATGTCATAGCATGTTTTATGATGCCAGTTTTGTAGTATTTCAGGTAGGAAAAGTGATAGAAAATCCAACTATCACTTGGTAAGTGATAAGGTAATCATGTCAGATTCAAAGGAATCTATGACAGTCTTATTTGAGCATAGAGTTTCAATGAAATAACTTCATACATCATAGTAAATTAATGTTAAATTGTGTTTCATTAGTGTTGTTTTTATTTCATTTTAAGTCGGGTTTGGTTTTACAATTACTTAGGAGTTATAATCCTAAAGTGTTTAAAATGATTTTACATCTTATTTTTTTATTTCTGTGTTTTTTGTGTTTTAGGAGTTCTCAGTTTGGTTTTGTGTATCCTGATTAGATTTTGTGCAATGTTTATTGTGTTCTTAATACTTTAAGTGTTGATTTTAATTCTGCTATTACATTTTTAGTTTTGTGTCTTAGGGGGAGGACCTGTTTTTGCTATGATGTTTGTTGTAGAGGGTAATAAAAAAATTCTTATCTCATTCGTCTACTTTTTTACATTTCATTTTTTGATCTTTATGTATCAGCTGTTCGTCTTCAGTGGCTTAGGATAGATCTTAGTTTTTAAATGAGGTTACTAAATAATTTTCTATCATATTTTTGAAATAATTAATTTTTCAACATCTGTCATTCCTCTTAGATTTTGGAATGATGTTTCATTTCCCTTGTTCTGCAATATTTTTCCATATGTTCCATGGTGACTTTTTTTTTTTTTTGGCTGTAGGAAATGTGTGTGTGTCAAGATTCATTTTATTCATCAGCTTTTGTTTACAGCTTGGAATTTGTTAGCAAATAAGCTCACATAAAATAGATACTGGGATGTTCTGCTTCTGGCATTCATGGACAATATTATTTTGAATCAACTCTCCTACTGAGAACAACTGGAAAGGTGAACAAAATGTATAACAAGAGCAAACAAATTGTGTGCTCATCAGAGAACTACCAAGGTAGAGAGGAATTGGGTAGTCAGGATCTGGCAAAGAGGGAAGTTCAGAAGGATGAGTCCAGCATTTGGAATTCTTTTCCCCTCCAGGTGATAGCTAATCCAAAAGAGGTGTCTTTGAGGTTCAGAGGCTAAGATCAACATTGTTGATTAACTCTAGGGATTAGGGAGACCAAAACTGGAGTTTTGGAATTCTCTAACTTTCGGTTGAGGCCTCAAAGGGCTATAACTAGACTACATGGTGAATTGAAAATAGAAGAAGTGATAAAGTAGAAATAGACCAGCCCTCCTGAGGACAGAAGCTAGCTTTGAATCATCGCAATTCCTAACTGAATTAAGGTGATTTGGGATTGCTAGTGACCCTAGCCTGGTTTCCTCTAGGAGCAAAACCAAATCCCCTCTGAAGGAAGATATCATCATCCAGACTTTTAAATTATCTCTACAGTTTTTCGTATACAATGTCTAGCACATTATGAAAAATACTCAGGAGTAAGTCGGAAACGACTGGACAGCAACGGGTTTTTAAGAGAACACCAGAGGTAACTGAAAACCAAGGGGAAAAATAGATGATAGAAACATACATGGAATGATAAAATAACTATGATTAACAAGTACAAAAATTAAAAGACAAGATCAAGAATATTGGCAAAAAAGAAAGGAAACTTTAAAAGGAAAATTCCAGAAACTGAAACAAACAAAACCAAAAAACAATAAACCTCAACAGATGGGTTAAACAACAGTGTGTACACAAGAGAGAATTAATGAACTGAAAAATAGGCCAGCATAAAGTATCTAAAAAGAAGAATATGGAAGCCTAAGTATAAAAAATAAAAGAGCATAGAAGACAGTGAGATATGAGATATGGTAAAAAGGTATAACTTAAATCTAATTGGAGTTCCAGAAGGAGAGGGGAGAGAGAATAGGGCAGAACAATGTTTGAATAGATGATAGCTGAGAATATACAATACAGGAAGGATATCAAGCACAGATGCGATGGGCCAGGATCCTCCTATGGGCCAAAAGTGGGATAAATATAAATAAAACTGCACATGGTCACATCATAGTAAAACTGTTGACAATCTAAGTCAGAAAATTTTAAAAATAGCCAGAGTTAAAAAGGGAGATTACCTTAAAAAAGAAATAATAGTAAGAAATGATAGCTGACTTTGCTTTCAAAAGGGTGTTGACGTTAGGCCTGGCTTGAAAGATGTGAATAATAAACACAGGAAAAGTTAAAGGAGCTGGTTTTACATTTGGTTCTATTACTACTAACTCATGTGATCTAAAGTTGCTTTACATTTCTAGTCCTTTTCTCATGTCATAATTTAGATTGAGCCTTTTAACTTTAACATTTATAAATATTAAATTTATAAATAAATGTTAATTAAAATAAAACTTTAATTTTATTCTGAGTCTTTTGTCACAGATTACTGATATGTTACTTTGTATTCTCCATAAACTTCTAATCTACTTACATGTTAGATATAGTTTTATTTTACTTATATGAAAATTGCTCTCAAGGTTGACCTTGGCTCTCTAGGGCCTCATCTGTGTGTTTTCCTAGAGCAACAGGCTGGTGAACAGTGAACACTCAGGCAGGATCACACATATACCACCTTAGGGAGGCCGCGAACAGAGGGTCTCTCTTCTGAAATGAAGGAGCCAGTAGAAGTAGATTCCTGAATTTCTAACTTCTTTTAATCCAGACTGTTTTAACCTTGATTCTCCAGAAGAACTAAACCAAACAGCCAGAATTTAAAAAAAAAAAAGATTGCCTCATTTGTGATTCATATTCTGTTTGATCTGTGCTCTCCTTTCCTCTGAGACTCTTTCTTCACATTTCCTCAAGGAAACCAACTTGGTCTTTTCATTGATTGTGTTCTACTCTTAACCCTGGCTGAATTTAAGAAACCCTGTCTTCTCAATTCTTTTGTTTTGTCATTCTCTTTAAAGAGTTATAGGTGGCTTGTTCTATGGATCCATGTATTATTTTTATTATTACTAATTTTTATTCATCCTTGGATGAAAGATCTAGACCTGAGTTTTCCCAGCAATTCAGAGTATGTGGATTTTTCTCAGCTTTTCTCTTTGTTTCCTTGGGTCCTTGTTGAACCCTCTTTTCAGGTGTATAGCTGTGCATGGCTCTGGACATTATTCTCAATATATAGCATGCTCTAATTTAGTGTACCTCTTTAGGTCTAAAAACATATGTTCTTATATCCCCCACTGGCTGACTTCTTCATAATGTGAAGGGAGTATTTGGACAACTGTAATGCCTAGTTGTATTGACAGTTCAACATCTGACCCCATAGTTTTCTGGAATTTGAGTTTTTGAATAAATGAAAGAGGTGTTCTGATGTTCTGATGTAGAGTTGGGCAGTACACGTTGTTTCAATAGCAACAGTCGCTGGGATAGCTGTTCATTTTCCTGTTTGGTACAGATCTGGCATTTCTGAAGGAATATTTAGAGGGGAGAAAGGCTTGCTTTCTTCTTTCGAATGTGTTGACCTTGTTACGTTTCTAAGCATGGGTGGACATCAATTATACATTTCAATCTGGTTATGTAAGTCTTTAGATAGTAGACATCTCTTCCACATTCTGGTAATAGAAAAACGGAATAGATAGTGACAGATGCCATTTAAAACCAGATGTTAGCATTGGCTCTTAAAATACTTTTTTTTTTTTTATATCTCCTAACATAACTTAGTTCAAAATTTTCTGTGATACAAATTCTTTGACTCCATAAGATCAGAATATTCAGAAATAGCTTTTAAAATCTCTACTCTATTTGTATTTGGAAGTTGTTTGAAAAGAATAAAATTCCCTTTATTATATTCTTTAATTTAGTTAAAAGAAAGCTTGGAACAATCAATAGGCCAACTTCGGAATCAACGTTTATTGAGAAACTCAGGAGGGAGAAGTATTTCTGTTACAAGTTTGAGTGCAAGTGACCTTGATGGTGGAACTGCAACAGGTAAACTCTTCAACTGTTCTGAAAACTCTTTTTTGTTTTAAAACTATTTCTGAAGTACATATTGAATACCTTTAATCTTTAGAAAAATGCAACCCATACATAAAATTGTACAGACTAGGTGTTTGAAGATGCAATTGTCAAGGATAGGAAGGATTTTATACTGCATATTTTGAAATACGTTGTGAGACTTGGTTATTTTGAGTCTATTACCTTACTTTTCTCAGAATCCACAGACCACATAGAGCTTTACCTGCTAAAACTTGGATTTAATAGTCGGCTACCAAAGAATCAAAACAAACATACTAATAAAATTTACTATATGGTATACTTTCTGGGTATGGAGTCTTGTCCTCCATTAATAGTTCTCAAATGTCTGGTTATGAAATATCCTATACACTTGTTAAGAAGAGGTAAATTTAACCTTGGTGTGCAGCTAGATTTTAATAGCTAGAATAAAAGTGGGAGCACTTAGTTTGTAGTTAATCTTATACTTTCTTATTGTAGTAAGATTCATATTTGAAAAGATTTTTAAGTCTGCAGTGAAAAGAGGTGATTTAGAGTGAACATCAGTACCTCATATTGTTAACTTTGCTATTAAGCATTATAATAATGATTCAAAATTAGACCTAATCATCTTTTTTTTTTTATGTAGTTAGTTGGTTTTTATTGATATTAAACATCATTCAGATCTTAGTTTAATTAATTTCTTATTTGAAAAGTTTGTTTTACCGGTATTAAGTTACATCTTTAAAAAAAAAAAAAAACCACATCAAACCCATTGTCGTCGAGTCGATTGCAACTCATAGTGACCCTATGGGACATAGTGGAACTGCCCCATAGGGTTTCCAAAGAGCAGCTGGTGGGTTCGAACTGTGTACCTTTTGGTTAGCACCTGAACACTTAACCACTGCACCACCAGTTACATTTTAGGGAGTTATAAAAGTTAATTTAGTTAGCAATTTCTTTTTATATAAGGGAAACATATTCATATTGCTTCTTTGGAAAGTTTAGCAAATTGGAACTTTTTGTTCTATTTCCAGATTATTTCCGTTTTTCATTTTATCTGCTTCAAGAGCAAAATTAATGCCAATTTTATGGAGCTTTATTTATGATCACAGCAACAAACCCAACCCAACCCACAGCTGTACAGTAAATTCTGACTCATAACGACCCTGTAGGACAGAGTAGGACTGCCCCATAGGGTTTCTAAGGCTGTACATCTTTTCAGAAGCAGACTAATACAGCTTTTTCCTGTGGAGCGGCTAGTTGGTTCAAACTGCTGACGTTTGGGTTAGCAAATGAGTGCCTAACCACTGCACAACCAGTGCTCCTTTTGTAGCCACAGCAGGGTAACCTGTTGCCATTGAATTGATTCCAACTTGTAGTGACTGTATAGGACAGAGTTCCCATGGGGTTTCCAAGGAGTGGCTGGTAGATTTGAACTGCTGACCTTTTGATTAGCAACTGAACTCTTAACCACTGTGCCACCAGGGCCCCCACAGCAGGATACTTGGAAATAAATGGGAGGATACTTGGAAATAAATGGGAGGATACTTGGAAATAAACTGGAATATATTTGGAAATAAATGGGTCAAGGACACATTTGTATATCCATATCTGGTATGCATGAACTGAGTAAAATTTTAGATTGTTTCTTCTCATGCAGTGTTTTTAATCCCCTCTCTCTTTCTTTTTTTTCAATTGTAAAGACAGCCACCGTTTTCCACCTACCTCACCTCTCAAGGACTATGGGGATCCACAAGGTAGTAAACCAATGAAGTCCAGACCAACTGGTGTCCGGTTTGTTCGGGAGACTGATGACGTGGGCCAGGTACTTAGGACCATTCTGTAATCTGTATACAAGCATTTCTTTACATTTCTGTATAAATGACTAACACTTGAACTTTATGGGCTGTATTTGGGCCAAGAGTTTGAACATTAGTAACTTCTTAACTGATGTTTTTTTTAACCAAGTAAACTATTTTATTTTTAATGTACTAATCTTCATCATACATTTATTTTGAATATTGTTATGAAGGATTATATTTTGTAGAACATTTAAAAGTGAGCTTAGTTGGACATGTTTTGTTTCTTTGTTTAGTTGGCTAGCTCTTCTGTAGGCTCTGCTAAGTCAGCTACTTTTTATTTTGCTAAGTTTTGTTGAGTATGAAAAAGTTAGTCCTTGTTTAGTTGACCTATCGGTTTTTCCAGCATTAGTGTTTTTCTGATTGTTGACTCATAATGGAGCCACTTTCTATTAAGTAAGAACTTCCATACTTCTTCTATGTATTCACTAAAGATTTCTGAAGTGTTAGTTCTATGGCAATATTTATTTTCCTGTCTTTTTAAGCTTCTCTGCAAGAGCCGAAATTTTCTCTTTTTTTGCCTTGGGTAGCTAAATTAATTAGAAAAGGGCTAGGGGAAGTTTCTGACTTTGACATCTTTGCTTTGGAACTTTTAGGATTGGGAGCTCAAAATTTGTCTTAGGATGCTCATCTGTAGCTGTTGCATGTTACAGCATAAGATAAAGAGGTAACAGAGCCAAATGCATTACAAAATGGCTTGTGAAACCTTCCTTGAATGTGTTATTTTTTGGATAGGTGCAACTATGCTACATGGACTATATGATTAAAATCTAGAGCAGAAAACAGTTTCTTAAAATTACCTATTTAGTCTTTCATTATATTTATTTAGTGCCTCTGTGCCAGGAACAATACTAGTGCTTGGACAGTGAGGAGCAAAAGTAGACATGGCCTTTGTGTTTTCATAGAGCTTGTAATTTATAGGAGGAGCTAGATATTAATCAAATAAGTATATTAATACTCATAATTGTGAACTGAGATATATGTTATAATGGAAAGAACATAGGGCATTGGGAATGTATAGTAGAGGCACCTGCCCCGGTCAGGGAGTGCTTCCCTGAAGAAAGGTTGTTTGAGTTGAGATCCAAGAGTTTAGAAAGACTCATTCCAGGTAGAGCAAATAGCTTGGCAGGAAGGAAGATAGCATCTAAGGGCAATTTAAAGACGGCCCTGTGGCTAAAGAAGATCACTCTGGCTCTAGTGTGCAAAGTGGAGTTAATGTGGGCAAACTGATTAGGAGGATATTAGTGTGTTCTGGATGTGAGATGATGGTCACTTGGATTAGAATGGTGAAATGGAGTTGGAAAGAAGGGAGTGGATTTAAGAGTCATAGTGGATAAAATTGAAAAAGTCTTGTAGCTCAGTTGGCCATATGAGAAAGGTGGGAATGAGTGAAAGGGTGGTGTCAAGAATGAATCCTAGGATTCTGGTTTGTAAAATTGGAAATTCATAATGGTAAAACCTAAGTGGATGGTCTGTTGTTCATTTACTATACTACCTCCACGCCTTTCTTTTAAATTATTCTTCCGTATTTTAAGTCCATTATCTTAAGATGACCTTTCACTTCACCTGACTGTATACTTTCTTTCTGCCCTAAGTTTAGAAGTTGTGGTTAGCTGTTTACTTGATCTGTCTCCCATATTAGATTGTGAGCCACTTGTTTCCCAGCATATTAGATGGCACTGATTAGTTGCTCAATGGGTATTTATTGAAATGAATCAATTTTGTTTTTTCTGCAAGTCTGGATAACTAAAAAAAAAATTATTGTGAAATATAGCGCACACACACACACACACACATCTATGGTTGAAAGTACAGTAATAAGAATGAACACCATGTAACTACTAACCATGCCAAGAAATAGAGGATTATCATACTCCCAAAGCCTCCTTTATGCTCCTCCTTCCCCAAAGGATTTTCACTATCTTGACTTATATTA